ACAGCCTCGGAGCAGAAGGTTATTGGGAGCTGAAGCAGCGTGCCATATAGATTAATACGGGAAAACTAGAGGGCTATTGTCAGGGAATATTCACTGCTTCCCATAGGGCGGTTTAGTACAGGAGAGCTGCACCCAGGAGACTAAGGTAACTGTAGTGGGACATAATAGTTCAGAATATTAGTCTGGTATGGGTTTCTATGAATTGATGTATAGGTTTATATGGCGTGTGATCTGCCTGCCTTGAAGTGTGTGTTAACTATAAACTAGCTCCGTAAACCCAATAAGAAGATGTTTTAGGGACATGAGAGACCCCTATATGAAGGTGACAACCAGGAAGTCCTGCCTGTGTCCCTTGAAATTCATCCTTTCTTTGACATAGTGTCCTGGTAAGATTTCACGCTTGGCATTTGGGTTTTTTATGGCTTTCTTTCTTTCTTACCGGATCAAAGCTCGTTGCCCACATTACAATCTGGTTGTACAATCTGCTTTAGATGTTCCATAATGTATGTAGTACAAGGGCCTGCCTGGTTGGACATGTATTGGATCAGTTAGGTAGGTCCTCATATTACATAGCTTTGGTAGATCTAAAGTTGACTGTACAATCAAATTGAAATGTGTATGGTGAGCAAGGATGTGCTTTGGATTGGTGTGAACTAGACATGTGCACTGCCAAAAAATTCGTTTAGTTTAGTTTCGTTTTAAATTCGGATTTGTGTTATTTAGTTTTTTTGGGATTCGCGTGTGAAAGTCAATTCGGATTCGGAATTTGGATTCGGACGAAATTCGGTAGCGGTAGGTCGAACGTTCGTTTCGTTTTCTGTTCTTATTCGTTTCTTATTCGTTTCGTTCGTGACATTTGAGGGGGAAAAAATATTTTTCTCCTTCTCTAATATCACTTTGCTCCAATGAACAAGAAACGAATAAGAACCGGAAACGAACGTTCGAACTACCGCTACCGAATTTCAGAAAATGGAAATTCGGATTCGTTTGCATTCGTTATGTCTGTAATTCGGATACATCCGAATGTCCGAATTTCGATTCGGAACGAAACGAATCGCACATGTCTAGTGTGAACCCAGTTCACCTGAGTATTCCCAAGCCCATGCGAAATGATGACCCCCTGGATGTGCAGCTGTGGGGTGGGGAAAGCCCATCTAAAGGTAGCCATGGATTGGAAAGGATCATCTCCCTTCTTAGTAAGTTAGTCAGGTTGAATGACTGTCCTGTGGTCTGTGGCTGACATAGACTACTGTAGTCTCTAGCTGATTGTGAGAAAAAAAGATGTTGAATATTTATTTTTATCAGTAAACAGTGTTTTGTTCCCTTTCTTCGTCTTGCTTCAACATAAAAGTTCTGGATTCAGATTGTACCCACATATCTGATTGGTTACATATATGATTATCTAGTTATATCTGCACTTTGGGATCATTTCAATGGCTATGTATTGATTAGTAATGTATTGTGCAAATGCTCCGAGTTTTCCACCTATTTTAATTTTTTAAATAAGAGTTTATTAGGCTCAGTATACCGCGAGCTTGCGGTCATTTTCCTTCATGAGACATTGATATATTAAAAAAAAAACACACATTGGGGTCAATTCACAAAGCTCAGCGTTATGAGAGTAGAAGTTAATTTATCTATCCTTATTTTACCACTCTTTATTTTACTGGCTGAAACATGCAATTCACAAAAGCCGGAATCGTTAATGCACACGCAGTTTAACGTTCCTTAAGCAAGTGTTATTTTAACATCACAGACTTTATTTTATCTATTGCTGTGATAAAATAACGTTTTGGGTGTTATTTTAACACTTTTGCAGTGCATTTTGGTAGCAGAAGGAGTGGAGCAGATGCCTAAATTACTGTTACTTTCACTTTCACCACACAAAAGGATTCCACATAGAAGGAAGGAATATATTCCATATTCGCCACATGCATACTAATTTTACATTTGGTAGAGAAGAAATCATATAGAAATAACGGAATGAATATATGAAACATTACATTTATTTAGATCTACATCTGTTGACAATCAGGCAGTGTAGGGAGAGCAATCAATTCCCCTTACCACCTATAAAGCCTGTCTTGATATTAAATATGTTGCATGGAACAATCCACTTGCTCTACAACCCCCACTGAAGTGTGTCCAGGGACATTTGATTTTTCATGTCATGTGAGATTTGCCACTAACCTCAAACTGTAAAAAATCATCTACATTTGTAGAAGGATAAAAACTGTAGAAATGACAACTACATGCCATCTTCTTCTGTACGCAAAAGCATTAAACCATGTGAAAATGAAGAAAAAAAGGTTCCATTTTTATATACCTCATGTCATCTCAGTGCAACAAGCATCAGATAACGCCTGAAATCTGTCATAACGCCACCCTGAAGGAGGTGATAAATCTACGTCTCAATAACGAGTGATAAAAGGACCTTTTCCTTTTGTGAATTGCATTTCAAGCATATGTTATCACTCCAGTTGTTAAAATAACATCTGAATAGTTAAAATAACGTCTGGATAGTTAATTTAGCACTTCTTAAAAAAAGGAAGCATTATTGAGTTTTGTGAATTGACTACCTCTAAACAGCAACTATATAAGAAGCGATATCAATGAAATAACGGCCGAAATGAAGAAAATAAGCTTTGTGAATTGACCCCATTATCCCCCTATTCCGATCACATATCTTATGCAGTGGCAAAAACAAAATTCAAGTCATGTGATGGAGGAATAACGTCCAGCCACGTCAGTAGCAGTGTGCATCTCCATCAGGGAGCAAATAGGCAAATGAGACAACCGTGTTGTATCCAAAAGAGCCAAGCAATATCAGAAAAAGAAGAGAAGAGGGAACGTGTACAAAGAACAGAAGGCCCAGAAAATAAAACGATAAGGAGAAGGGAAACCAGTAGGTAGAAGTAGCAGGCAAAGAAAGACACTCGAGGGGTGGGGGGGAGGGAGGGAAGCTCCACAGGACCCAATTGCACATATAGTAAAGTGAACGGAGTCAGTAACTATATCAGAGACGGTGCACCAGTCATAGACCACCTATATTAATTTGATGTTATGTTTTCAGCAGTCAAAATGGTCAAGGAATCGGGATACTACGATACCCTTGGTGTTCCACCAAATGCCACCCCTGATGAGATCAAAAAGGCATACAGAAAATTAGCTCTGAAGTACCACCCTGACAAGAATCCAAGCGAAGGGGAAAAGGTAAGCTGAATAATTCACTATATTTATGTCTTTCTGCCCTTGGTTGCTAACATATCTAGCTGAGAGCACAAATATACTCGGGTAATATTGTTTATTCAAAGTTGAACACAAGCCAAACCATTTATGCAGTTCTAGATGGAGTAGGTGAGAAAATGAGATTCTAATAGATTTTTATTGCTGTTTGAGTTCCCACTGGGGAGATGTTCCTTTACTTTCTGTACCAGAGACACAACAGCAAATAAGAAATCTCTTTAAACTAAGGGGAACTCCCACCTTTGGTTGAGTGCTGTGTCATATGTTACTATTCATTCTTGGTAGGTGTCTTCATTCATTATTTGTGATTGCATTGGTGCATAACTATTGTGTATTCTGAAACTTTGTTGTTGTGTTGTACTGTCCTTGTGGATTTAAAAAACAAAACTAAGGGGAATTCCTACCTTTCACAGTTGTTAAAGGAGAACTATGAGATGAGTGATTTCCACTCACCTCATAGTTCTAGCCGACCTGTGACAATGAGACTGTCACAGGTCGGCTCAGTAGATCGGGAGGTGAGCGAACACATACCAGGTTCGCTCACCTCTCGATCCTGTCACGGCTCTCTGCCGTGACAGGGGGAGGGCTGGATTCCCCTCTCCCCGCTCCGATCTGCCAGCGCTGACTGGCGGAACGGACGGGGGAGGGGGCGGGTACAGCTGCCTCTAGATAGGCAGAGCCAGCTGTCACTCACGCAGCTGGGCGGATCCCGTCATCTACATTGGGATCCGCTCCGGCTGCGGCGTCTCAGTATACCGCGAGCTGTAGCTCGCGGTATACTGAGCTTAGGTATACTGAGCTTAGGGTGATGGGAGGACGCTAGTTTGTGTCCTCCCGTTACCCTAAGGAGAACTATGGGGGAAAAGCCCTAACCCTATAGTTCTCCTTTAACACATGTTAACATTTGTTATGTAATGCTTCTTTTAGAAGAGGAAATCTCCCAGTGTGGACTTTACACATATCTTCAAAATAACAACAAACATACCTTTTTAGAAATGTTTAGTAATGACAATCTACAAACACATCCTTCTAGATAATTGCCGGCTTTGTAATTGCACACCTTATTTCTCTTTTTTTTTCCCAGTCTTCTCACAGTGGCCATGTTTACTAAGGGCAGATTACTAGCTCTCCCTTTACTTCCTGGAACACTGGCACATGTGACTAGGACATCTGAGGGGAGGAAAATGTCTTTCCCTGAGATCTCATGAGGTTTTCCAGCAATGATCTGATGTAATCTTCCCAGGATGCAATGCTTGGACACAATTACATAATTTGTGCCCAGTGAACCAGGAAGTGGAAAAAAGAAATATGTTTGTTTAGCTAATGCATGTAAGATAATTTCATATCGGCATGCAGAGCTGTATGCTGATGTGATTTTTAGTCAAGGGGGTAAAGGTCCACTTTAACCTGCATTAAAGGCAGCCCATTCGTTTTGAATGAGCTGCCGACGCACACTAGTGTGGCCAAAAAAACTGCTCACCATTGGTTTTAAAGTGAACACACAGCATGACTTGTGTTGGTGATTTCAGAATTGTATTCAGTTTGGTGACAATTCCCTTGTATGAGTATGTGATATTAAGATATATATGTATGAAAATGAATGCTGACATTTTTCGTGTGTTTTTTTTTTTTTTTTCTTTAGTTTAAACTGATTTCTCAGGCCTATGAGGTGTTGTCTGACCCCAAGAAGCGAGACCTCTATGACCAGGGTGGGGAACAAGCTATTAAAGAAGGTGGAATGGGTGGAGGAAGCTTCTCCTCTCCCATGGACATCTTTGACATGTTCTTTGGTGGAGGTGGCCGCATGAACAGAGAGAAAAGAGGTAACTAGAATTAAGTTGATGTTTAACAATGTAATTGGCCCTCTCCTAGATATCTGCAAGTCATCGGCTGGCTCCTTGTCAGCCTTGCACATAATCTTAGCATAACATAAAGCACACTTAAAAGGTCAGCCAAATCAAAACGAATAATGCAGGGTTTTATAGTTACTGGTGAGTTGATTACTTAGCAGTTTCCTGTATTTCAATATCAAAAATGATTTTTATTATAGCCCATAACTTTCACTAGCCACCAGTGTTATTATTTTGAATTACAACAATTTATCCTTCTTTAGGCAAAAATGTGGTGCACCAGTTGTCTGTATCCTTAGAAGAGCTTTATAAAGGATCAAGCCGCAAGCTGGCACTACAGAAGAACGTCATTTGTGACAAATGTGAAGGTAAGGCATATACATTCACATGATGGATTAGTTGGTATAACTGTAACATATAATATATTGCATGATTTCTCCGGGGCTTATCTTTTTTCTTTGTCCACGAGATGACTTAGTTGGGCCGCCTCGTGACTCCACGAGATGTTGAAAGGTGATGCGAGGAATCTGACACTGCACTGTTGCCCTTCTGTTGCCTTGTACCAGTCTTGCCACTCTCCGTTCTGCCCTAACATTGACTAGTCGCTGACGGCCACAATTCGCACGTTCAGACCCAGATTTTCGTCTGACTGTCCAGTCTTTAAACACTTTAACAACAGCTGCTCTTGAACATTTAACAAATTCTGCTGTTTTGCTGATATTCGCTCCATGGCTCCGAGCGCCAACAATCATCCCACGTTCAAAGGCTGTTAAATAGCGTTGTTTACCCGTATCTTCAGAAACAAATCACTTCTACTGTCGTGGTAAACAACCTGCTTCCCTTTTTATAATGGTCTGGCCCTCTAGCAACTTCAGAGCAAAATTATAGCTAATTTGCCTACAAACGTCAGGTGGTCATAATAATCTGGCCACTCAGTGTATAAAGTAGGTCATCCTTGTGTAGCTTAAACTTTGCTGGTATTTATGGCTTCAAGGTTTTTTTGCTGTTTATTCTTTCTATTGTTCAAGCTGCTAGTTACCGTCTCTCACGCTTTCTTCTTTTGTAGGACATGGAGGCAAGAAAGGAGCAGTGGAGAAATGTACCACATGCAAGGGCCGTGGTATCCAGGTTCATGTACAGCAGATTGGGCCAGGGATGGTCCAGCAGATTCAGACTATGTGTTCTGATTGCCAAGGCAAAGGTGAACGCATTAACCCTAAAGACCGCTGCAAACGGTGTAATGGCAAGAAGGTGATACGTGAGAAGAAGATACTCGAAGTGCACATAAAAAAAGGTGGGTGTAAAATCATTTTGTTTGTTAGCTGAATGATCATATGACTTTTTTTATGTTTTGCCACTTGTTTGGCACTTTATAAGACCTTATTTCTGCTTTTGTCTAGGCATGAAGGATGGACAGAAAATTGTATTCCATGGGGAAGGAGACCAGGAACCAGGTTTAGAACCAGGAGATGTAGTCATTGTGTTAGATCAGAGAGACCATGAGGTGTATCAAAGGCAAGAGGACAATTTGATTATGAGAATGGAGATTCAGTTAGTTGAAGCATTGTGTGGGTTCAAGAGAACATTAGAGACCATGGATGGCCGAACTCTTCTAATCACATCACACCCTGGTGAGTATACATTTGTAATTAGTATATGTTTTAAAAAGCAACTTGCCAAAAGCATTTTAAAATTGTTATTAGTATTGAAATTGTTATCAGTGCACAAATTATTTACCAGGGATGCACCAATTCCATTTTTTTCCAGACCAAGTATGAGTACTGATACTATTCCTCAATTGGAAGACAAAAGAGAAAACAGGGCATACGTCTCCCGTCACGAAGGGGTTAAAAGGATTATCTGCACCAGGTGGGGCGCCCTGTTTTCTCTTTTGTCTTCCAGTTTTACAGTCTCCCCGGCTGAAGTGGGGCAGCAACCCTAGCGATCCTGTACATGTAACAAACACATCACCAGGAATAGTCCACAGCGCTTTTGCTTCTTCTTATTTGTTTGGTACTATTCCTCAATTACTCAGATACCAATTACTGATACTTTTTTTGGTGTGTGTGTCATGTGACCGTTTTTCTGAAACAATGCAGACTAATGATATTAGGACAGTGGTGGAGCGCCAGGGCCCAGTCACAGCTGCAACCCTGGTAGTTCTGCTTGACTTCAAGCTGTAGAGGGAATACAAATCCCAGCAATACATTATACAACAATGCAGAAATACCATCATTTACATTATAGAGGACTGCAGATCCAATCAAAACATTATACAGCAATGCAGAATAATATGAAGCTACATACTGTGTTCTGGGGTGGTGGCCTTATGTGTGCAGGGTCTCGGGAGGGCTGTGTGGGGTATCAGGTGGGCTGTGCAGGGTTCACAACAGTAATTAGGATTTCAGTACAGCAAAGGTACTGTGTTGTCTGCCAAAATAGGAAGTTTGAAGCACACCGAATTTGTAGGCGATCAACAGGTTTTTGCACACTTTAAGCATTAAAGCTGACCTCCAAGTATAAACATTTCTGTATATTTACATTGGTCCAGCTCAGTGAAGCAGAGGGTCACTCGCTCATATGAACTTTGCACGATATTCTAATTATTCGAGTTTCACCTGTATATATATCTATATATAGATATCTATATATAGATATATAGATATATATACAGGTGAAACTCGAATAATTAGAATATCGTGCAAAGTTCATATATCTATATACACTACTAAAGGGTTATTCCAAAATGTATCCATGTTGTGCTTATTATTATTATTATAAGATTATTAAAGTGTGGTTATTGTACTACTAACTAAAAGCAACAATTTGACTAGAAAAGTGCAAGAGAATAGGATTAACCAATCACTTGTTGACCTGGAAACTTGTGTTTATTTTAGGTGAAGTTACAAAGCACGGGCACCTGAAGTGTATCCAGAATGAAGGCATGCCATTACAGAGAGATCCATTTGAGAAAGGACTTCTCATTATTCAGTTCCATGTAAGTGATTTACTCTTTAACCCCTTCATGACTGAGGCCTTTTTTTCATTTTTTGCACCCATGTTATATTCCACATTTTAGGCCTGAAAATGACTTAAAACCCCCCAACATTATATATTTTCTGAATGCCAAGACCCTATAGAATAAAATGGTGGTAGTTGCAAATTTTTATGTTGCGCAATATTAGCGCAACTCCTTATTAAACCCCAAAATTTAGTGACAAATTTAATTAAATGCCCCAAAACACAACAAATTACCCATTTTTTTAATGAAATATAAAAGATGAGGTTACAACGAGTAAAACGATACCCAACATGCCCAGTTTACAGATTGCGTGCGACCGTGAAACGGCGAAAAACTGCAGTACCCCAAAAAGTCAATAAAAGACGCTTTAAAAGCCCCCACAGGTCATCAATTTAGAGATACCCCAAAATACTGGCCCTAGAATTATTGCTCTCACTCCGGCGTGCGCGGCGATACCCAACATGTGTAGCGCGTTCGTCGTTTTCATATGTTGGCGCACCCGACGCGTGTTTATGTGGCGAAGCGCGTGCTCACAGGGGCGGGAGACTTAACATTTTTTAAAATTATTATTAGATTGTATTTTTTAATTGAAAAAAACTTTTTTTTTTTTTTTTACTTTGACTGTTATCACATAGGGGGGCTTACAAGCCCCCCCCCGTGATAGCAGATGGTGGTGACAGGTACTCTTTAAGGTGATGCTGGGGGTCCAAAAGACCCCCAGTGTCACCTTTACACTGGAAATAAGCTATTGAAGTGCAGATCGCACTTCAATAGCTTATAGCTGGGCTGCAGGAGCCCAGAACTGACAGCCCAGGGACCGGAAGTGATGCAATCTGCATCGCTCCCAGTCCCATAGAACGGGGAGGGGATCGATGAACGGAAGTTCGTCGACCTCCTCCCCAGCTCCCCGCGGACACCAAGGACGCCGGTCCCGGGCCCGTAGGAGGGGCAACGGAGCCCGGGAAGCACGGCGACGGTGTCTGGCGGGGGGTGGCGGCCCCTTCTTCGGGACACAGAAGCAATCTGGCGACAGGTAAGTCGCCAGGATCGCTTCTGTTGTAAAGCCGACAGTCGGCTCTACAAGTTTAAACAGACTTCCGGCGGCAAAAGTCCCCGGGAGTCTGTTTAAACAGCCCCGATGCTGGCGACGTACACTGTACGTCGTCAGTCACGAAGGGGTTAAAGAATTTGCCACATGCTGCCTGCGTAATGTAAAATACCCTGATGACCTTGCCTGGGGTATTCCTCCTTTTTTACAGGGTATCCTAAACACGTTACACACTGGGGCACTGGTGTTGGTAGGGGGATCAGTGTGCATTTTTGACATACAGGGCAAACTTTAGGAATGAAAGAGTGTATTGAGTAGCACTTGTAGTGTTTGATGTTCCCCTGAATGTTCAATTTCATTGCTCCCCTCTGTCATAAAGCCAGGAAAATGTAGCTTGGGTGCCCCAAATCCAGCTCCATTATATACTAAAGTGTATGTAAACCGGTTCTATAATAGTAGTATCTGATCGATGTGGGAATATTTTAGGTCCTGCAAAATACTTATTTACAAAAAAGCTCAGTGAAGCATTTTATCAGCAAAGTCAACTTTTTAACTTCATATATTTGTGATACGAGCTTAGACCAGTGATTCAGACTCTTCATGCCAAGGCTGCTATTACATTTCACATCACATTGTGACTTTTCAGATTGCTCCTGCAGCTCCACCTTCTGGTAAAAACAAATGCTAGAGTCTAGAGAGTTGCAATAATGTGATAATACATAGAAGTAGCTTATTGAAATGACGTTATGGTTTTAATAAATGACTCACATTGTGTTACAGCAAATAACAGCTGAAATATTGGTATCATTTCCTTTTGCTATCAAGTGCAAGTAGTAATAAACTCGTTTCTTTTAAAGCAGGGAGATAACCATTTATATAGTTGAGAAATAGTTTCTTGTGTATGAGTAGGAGAAGATACTCGCCTAGTATGTTCAGTTTGTGTACACAATAGGCTTAAGTTATTGTGTTTTTCTTTCCTTGTAGGTGGCTTTCCCTGACAACAACTGGCTTCCCACAGAGAAGCTCTGTCTACTGGAGAATTTGCTGCCACCTAAAGAAGAAATTATGGTCACTGATGACATGGATGTTGTGGAGCTTGTGGAGTGTAACCCAAAAGAACAAAGCAGACATTACACAGGAGAGGCATATCAAGAAGATGAAAAGCAGAGAGGCGGGGTACAGTGCCAGACATCATGAATTACTTCAGTATTAAGCTGAATAAGGGACTGATTACAAATGGTGTCCATGTCTCAGCTATTCCCACCTTGGCTGAAATGACCGCTCAGCAGTTGATCTTTTTGTATATATAATGTCAGCTAAAGTAGAACCTTACCTAACTGCTGTGGTGTGTTCCAGTCAATGCTATCATCAACGTGTAGGTGTTGGGCGACCTCTCTTTCCGGTATACAGAGGTCAGCCCATACTGTGACCTCATTCAGAGCCTGCATAGATTGGGCTGGAACTATCTCTGTGCCTGCACACATCGCATAACTAGCAATTCATTATTTGCGGTACATGAGGTTCTTGCATAACTTACAGGTTTTATTACAGTTTTGGCTGGTCATGCTAAAAAAAGAAACGGGTTATGCAGAAAAGTTCTGCTTTCAAAGGTAACATAAGTTTCATTCTAACTTCAGACTCACCAACTTGAAGCAGTTGCTATATTTGCACATCAGTGTTATTTAAGCTATTTAGGTAAATGTCGTATTGTCAGATTTGTTTTTGTTTTTTTAATAAATGATTTTAAATTTTGTTTCTGATTTTCATTTTTTCTTTTGTTACTCTCTTTCTGAATACCCTGGTATATTTTACAGTTATCATGCCGTCACTCTTGCATTAATGTAAGGTCTGTTGCCTAGACTATTAGGCAGTAACTTTTGGCTTCTCTGCCAAGAACTGTCATTTTAAATGTCACCCTGTATAAAGCACACCTGTTGTGCTAAGGCAAAAGCCTTGTATTGTTTTCCACATAATGCAAAGTGTTCTGTGATTTGAGGGGTGGGTATGTGACATGATCGTACTACTTTAACCTGATCTTGTCACATTCACAGATCCTCTTGTATTCTATTTAAAAAAAGAAAAAGGTAGGTAAATAAGGTATGCTACTGCAACCCGGGGAGTAGTCCCTACTCCTGGAAGTGCCTAGGAACACAAAGTGATAGGTGGTCAGGCAATCCGATACGCAATTTCAACGCTTGAAGGTGCTTCTTGGGTTTAGGGCACCTCTATGCAGCTAGTGTGTGAAAGTCTCACAAATGTGGTATCCCAATACTCTGGAGGATAGCAGGCTGTGTATTGGGGTATAACTTCAAAATTCTCACCATGGGGGTGTAAATCTAAAAGGGAGGGGCAAGTTATACATGAGGAGGTGGCAGTAATATTTCAGCAGTTAGGTTGAGGAGATTATATATAAATTAATGTGTGTGTGTATATAGATAGATAGATATTTTCCTATTTTTTTTTTTTCCACTTAACTTTATTGCTATCACAGAGGGGGCTAAGAAACCCCTATATGTCATAGAAAAAGAAGTGACAGGTCCTCTTTATGGAGACATCAGGGGTCCCCTAAAGAAGCTGATGAAGCAGAGATCTGCTTCATCAGCTTCTCTCCAGCATCTGAAGCTGGAGAGTGACACGAGAATGCGGAAGTGATGTAATATACACCACTTCCGCATTCTGACAGCGAGAGGGGACTGGAGGGAGTTCGTGAACCGACCTCCCTCTGATCCCCTGTCAGAGAGCCACTATGCTGGTCCCGGGCACAGCGGAGCCCGGGATCAGCGGAGGGGGGGGGGCGCACATACCAGGACCCCATACAAGCGATCCACAGGCTCTATAGCCGGCGGATCGCTCGTATGTTAACAGGCATCACTGCCGGTTTTTAAATTATGTGTCTTTCCCGCTCACGCGCACGAGTGGGCGGGACTAACAGGATGTGTATACACGCCCACTTACATCCAAGAAGCTCACGGCCGGCCGTGTAAACACAACGGCCGGCCGGGAGGTAGTTAAAAAGCTAGAAAAAGGGAAAAGTAATAATGAAAGAAAAAAAAATCTGATTTCAACCGATTATTTTTAAAATTTGAATTCTTAACTGTCCGCATACCTGGGGTCGTAGCAGGGGTGTATTCATTAGTATACGAACAGACCGCACTATCCAGAGAATTCCAGTACTTCAGATTTGATTGAAATTCACAGCAAATCCAGTATAACAGTGAATGTTTATAAAGCAGCAAATACCAGCACACCCCCAACCAACTACAACCTCTCACATGTTTCACCCGTAGGCTCTGACCCCATTCACACTGAGCGATTTGTAGCACGATTTCAGCTCAAAAATCACTCAAATATCAGCTCAATGTAGTTTGCCTGATGCATTTCAATGGAGCTGTTCACATCTCACAGCTCAATGTCGCCTGTAGCTCGTCGCTCAAACTTGTCGCTTGAACATGACCTATTTTTCAGCGGATTTCATGCGATTTGGCCCAATAGACTTGAATGGTGTAGCTCAATGTCGCACAAATTTTCGTTTTATGGGCTACAGTTCTCACGTGCGCAGTCCGTTCCTGACTGAAAAAATACTGCATGTCACATTTTGTCCGGTCAGGAAACGCACAAAGGCGTCAAAAATGCAAAGAAAACGGACCGCAATGCAGCTAAGAAAAAAAAAAAATGTATTCTTGCTCCACTTTTTATGATGTCATCATCGTTGGACTTCCTGGTTGTGGTGGAGCATCAGAGGGAAAACCAGCAGTCATGACTAACATGGTCCTGGACATTGAGTGTTTTGTCAGATTGATGGAGCATGCGCCAATGCTCTACGACCCCCGCCACACACAGTTTAAAAAAGTGCATCAAAAAATAAAAAGTGGATAGATATAGCATCAGAGCTGTATGATGAATACTCGTGTACAGTAGTGCCCAGAAGAAAGAATGTGGTGAGTGATTACACATATCTTGTATGTTGACAAACTGTATGTTGGTCATGTTATCCACTGTATGATGGTCATGTAATCCAAATAAAGTTTGTCATATGTGGGGGTTAATATGCAGCAGGTAGAACTGTCAGAATCCCGACCAAAAACGCGTAAAAAACGCACTGCAGATCCGCACCTGATCAGGACCTGAAAATCATGTGAACAGGCCCTTAATGCTGTTTCGGATTCGGAGGCAACGAGCCTCCGAATCAGAGACCGCACAAAGAGACTGCAGAACGAGCGCCGTTCTGCGAATAACGTCACCCCTGACGTGGCGTCATGTGACGTTATGCACCCCGCCTCCAAGATGGCGGCCGCCATGCGTTCTGATAACAAATTTTTATATGCCCGAATATCGTTTTTGTATATTTGCGCACATAAAAAATGTGTTATTTTGAATTCGGACGAACCGCCGAATCAACTGAATTTCGTTGATTTTGCAGGTTCGTCCAAATCTGAATGCACATTCTACAAGTAAGGGTCTTTATAGGGGAGGTGGTATTTTTGTTAATCCATTGGGTAGATTTTCTCTCACTTCCTGTTTCTGTGATGCTAATACAAGAACTACAGGGTGCAGTTGTCTAGGGCAGTGGTCCCCAACCCCCGGGCCGCGGACCGGTACTGGTCCGTGGATCAAATGGTACCGGGCCGCGGTCCGGTCATGCAATATATGGCAGTGCACGGTCCCGGTGTTCGAACACCGGGGCCCCGCACTGCCGACGGGCTTCACAGTGAGGGGGCGGATCCTGTGACTCACCTCCCCTCCCGGCCGCGTCCATAGTAACAGGCGGCGGGAGGGGAGGTGAGTCACAGGAGGCGTGTGTGTCACAAGCCCCACCTGCAGCGTCCATCTCCTGGCAACCGCCTATCACAGCCTTCTCTGCTCTCTGTGCCCGCCCGCCTCCAGCCGTCCTCTCTCCCCCTGACACACCGCTCGTTGTCTTGGGCTGGCTTGCTGACACAGGACCCCTTCATCCTCCAATCCCCCCTTACGTCACAGACCCCTGCACCCTCCAATCCGCCCCTATGTCACAGACACAGCACCCTCCAATCCCCAGGCATCATTGACACAGACCCGTCAACCCTCCAACACCAGGAATCACTGACACAGGACCCCTCCACCCTCCAAACCCCCTTATGTCACAGACAGAGACCTCTCCAACACCCGACATCACTGACACAGGACCCCTTCACCCTCCAATCCCCCCTTATGTCATAGACCCCTGCACCCTCCAATCCCCCCTTATGTCATAGACCTCTGCACCCTCTAATCCCCCCTTATGTCATAGACCCCTGCACCCTCCAACACCCTAGCAACATTGACACAGACCCCTCCACCCTCCGACACCCCAGCAACATTGACACACACCCCTCCACCCTCCGACACCCCGGCATCACTGACACAGACCCCTCCACCTTCCGATACCCCAGCAACATTGACATACACCCCTCCACCCTCCAACACCCCGGCATCACTGACAAAGACCCCTTCACCCTCCAACACCCTGTTGATGTCGCTGACACAGATCCAGCTACCCTCCATCACAGACACAGACCACACTACCAACATCCCATATGTTGTGCCGCAGATCCATTTACCTTCCAAAATCCCAACATCACTGACACAGAGCGCTTCACCCTCCAAACCCTGCTGATGTCACTGACCTAGATCCATCTACCCTCCATTACTCCCTACATCACTGACACAGACCCCTCAAAACTCCCCTTATGTCACAGACACAGACCATCTGCCCTCCAATACCCCGGCATCACAGACACAGACCCCTCCAACACCCCAACATCACTAACACAGACTCCTTTCTCCGTCAACACCTCCATGTCACTGACATAGATCCCTCCACCCTACATTGCTAACACCTTGCTACTTCTTGCACCCCAGCATCACTGACATGGATCCCCTACACCAGTGGTCCCCAACCCCCAGGCCGCGGACTGGTACTGGTCCGTGGATCAAATGGTAGTACAATCAACGTCCCCCCCCCCCCTCAGCGGGCCGCGGTAAAATTATCAAACGTTGACCGGTCCGCGGCGATAAAAAGGTTGGGGAGCACTGGTCTAGGGGACAGGATAGTGCACACAACAAGAACAATAATTGTCAAAAACGAATCCATCCCTTCTCTACTTAAAATGTTATCTCAGGCTAGGTTCAGACGTGAGTGATACCCGAGGCGCGCAGTCGCTAGTGCACACAGCGGCTGCGGCGGGGCCCCATTGATTTAAATGGGGTTATATCCGCGCA